CCCAGAGGGGTCAGCCAGGGACACCGCAACCGGCCGACTAAGCAGCGTGAGAGTGGTGCGGTCCCGAAAGAAGGAGCGAGACGCCCCAGAGTCAAGGGTGAAGGTGTGGGAGGCAGAAGCCGACACAGTACCTGAGAGGGCAGACTCACTAGCACCTGAGAGCACAGGCGCAGTGGCACCTAGAGCAGCAGCCTCACTGGCACCTGACACAGCAGTACCAATGCCCGGGTCGGGCGGAAAGCACCGGTAACACTCACCATCATCACTAACAGACACAGCATACATGGCAGCAAGGATAGCATCAAAGTGAAGATCAAACACAGCTACACCAGCCCTACATAGCTCTCTCCAGCGGGGGATCTCAGAGGCCTCCGGAAACTGCTGGCGCCAAGCGTCGGTCAGGCGGGCAAAGCAGCGGCGAGCGGTGTGGGTGCCCCCACACTGCTCACCCGCGCGGTCGCCGGTGCGAAGGACGTAGGCGCAGGGACCGAACGCCCCACCACGCTGACGCTGGGAGTACCACTCACGGAGCTGCTGAGGGGCGGGGACGTCGCGGGAGCGCTGCTGGTGCTGGCGCTGACCACCCCCAGTGCCGCTCCTCTGGGACGAGCCACTCCGACCACCTCCACCACCGCCACCCCCGCCTCCGCCGCCACCGCCGCCACCGCCACCCTCGCCCCCGCCGCTCCCACTGCCTCCTCCGCCACCACCTCCGCCGCCACCTCCGTCTCCACCGCCGCCACCAGGACCTCCACCCCCTCCTCCACCCCCACCGCCACCCCCTCCTCCACCGCCACCCCCACTCCCCCCGTCGCCTCCACCTCCTCCGCCACCGCCCCCGCTAGCTCCACCCGCGCCCTTGCCCCCTTTGCTCCTGCCAGAGCGGCGCCTACCGCTGGGGGCAGACGCCGCACCGACCGACTCTAAACCAACGAGGTCGCCCGCAGCAGCAGAGGCGACAGAGGGTAGCAGGGGGGAAGGAGAACACCCCTCAAAGATGGGGGTGCGCGGGTCACCACGAGAGGCCCCTACAGCGACTATGCTCTTCTCGGCCGCTAGCAGGGACTTCTCAAGGAGGTCGACAGTGAGGGTGGTGGGACAGACAGAGAGACAAAGTCAAAGAGAGAAACCTCATCGATCGCATCGCACAGTAAGTACAGCTGCAGGTCCTCAATCCAGACTGCAAAGTCAATGGCGCGACCCTCAGCGTCAAAAGTCAGGACACTGGGGGTGGCCATTGTAGCAGCTGACAGTCTCACCGGGCAGGAAGAGTCGGGTAGCACAGCGACACAGCAACACGGCAGCACAGCAGCTGCGCCGGCCCCGGAGCAGTAGGAGCCCCACAGGAGCAGAAGATCGGCTCCTCGGGCGGCTGGGGCGGCACGGGCGGCTCGGGCGGCTCGGGCGGCTCGGGCAGCGCGGGCGTCTCGCGGGCGGCTCGGGCGGCGCGGGCGTCTCGCGGGCGGCTCGGGCGGCTCGGGCGGCGCGGGCGTCTCGCGGGCGGCTCGGGCGGCTCGGGCGGCGCGGGCGTCTCGCGGGCGGCTCGGGCGGCGCGGGCGTCTTGCGGGCGACTCACGGGCGGCCGCGCGGGCGGCTGGGACGGCTCGCGGGCGGCTGCACGGGCGGCTGGGCACGGGCGGCTGCACTGGCGGCCGTACGGGTAGGTGCACGGGTGGGTGCACGGGCAAGTGCACGAGCGACGCGGCGGCGAGGCGGCGTAGCAGAGGGCGGCAGGGCCGCGTGAGCAAGGCGGCGGGGCCGCTTAGCAGAGTGCGGCGGGGCCGCTTAGCAGAGGGCGGCGGGGCCGCGATCGAAGGGCGGCAGGGCCGCTTAGCAGAGGGCGGCGGGGCCACGATCAAAGGGGCGGCGGGGCCGCTTAGCAGAGGGGCGGCGCGACGGGCTGCTGGGGGCGACACAACGGGTCGCTAAAAAAAAGGAAAACGCGCCTCGGGGCGCGCTTCGGTGGGCCCTAGAAGCACTCCCTAGGAGGGAACCTGCTCTGATTCCATGTGAAAGAAAGAACGAGAATGAATTGACTATGAACGAAGTGAGTACAAATAGGAAACCCTAATTGGGTTGTACCCCCTATGAGATACCCCACTATAGCCTACACAAATAAGTAAGCTATAATGTTCTGACAGTAGGACTTTAAGCCTAGTGGAGGGGTTGCTGATCGTTGGGAGTTTGTTGTGTTGACGTTGTGGTTTGGGTTTTCAAGAGTGCGATTTTTTGTGCATGGTGGGTTTATTTGTTGGTTGTTGGTGTGCAGTTTACTTGTATTATGTGGTTTCTGGAGATTAAAGTGGACTATGTTTTGGTTGTATTCGGTAGCATTTATGTATGCAGTTTATGGAAATGGCCACGCAACGCTTTGCGCAGCATGGTGTGTTGGTTCTCTTTTAACCTAAGATGTATGGCGTTTTCGAATATGCGATGGATATTAGGTGAGGTGTGCGACACAATGTTGAGTACGCGATTCGGAGGTAGTGCCGGGGCACATGCATTTTCCGTGAACATGTGGGCGCGGCGCGTCCGTGGCCGGTATGACTGCCGTTGCAACATTTCTGTGACATTTGGTCACTGTTATTCGGTTTGTCAACTAGTATGCAGAAAGTCACTTCTCCAGGCAGTTGTTTTTTGGACACTCATCGCAAGAAATCCACAACTTGGTTGCAGAAAAACCTTCGGACACTCAAAAACGCAGATTCCTCTTTCCGTGATGAAGGTAGTCACTCACGTATCCGGTGACGTTGAGCGATGCTCCTGTCAAATCATAATGTTTTGTAGGCTGTAGTGGGGTAGCCTATATGGGGTACACATTTCTAAGGTTGCATATTTGTACCACATTCCATTCCTTAGTTCACACATTCTCGTTTCATTTTTCTCATGGTATCGAGCAGGTTCCCTCGTGGGAACTGTGCCTAGGGCCCACCAAGTCGAAAGTTTTTTTTTTCCTGCCCGGAGCGCGCTCAGCCCGAGTCGCGCTCCCCTCTTTGACTTCGTCGAGCCGCCCTAGCGGCCAAGCTGCGCCGCCTTAGCGGCCCCTGATTCGTCGCCCTAGCGACCCCGTCGCCCTACCTACGGTCCCGGCCCCGTCGCCCTACCTGCGCCTCGCCCCCGTCGCCCTACCTGCGCCCCGGTCCCGTCGCCCTACCTGCGCCCCGGCCCCGTCGCCCTACCTGCGTTGCGGCCCCGTCGCCCTACCTGCGACCCCGGCCCCCTCGCCCCACCTGCGACCCTGGCCCCGTCGCCATACCTGCGGCCCCGGCCCTAGCCCCGTCGCCCTACCTGCGCCCCGGCCACGGCCCCGTCGCCCTGCTTGCGACCCCTGCCCCGTCGCCCCACCTCCGACCCCGGCCCCGTCGCCCTACCTGCGCCCCGGCCCCGGCCCCGTCGCCCTACCTGCGTACTGGCCCCGTCGCCCTACCTTCAACCCGGCCCCGTCGCCCTACCTACGACCCCGCCCCGCCGCCCTACCTGCGGCCCAGCGGCCCTACCTGCGGCCCTGCCGCCCTACCTGCGGCCCAGCCGCCCTACCTGCTGCCCCGCCGCCCTACCTGCAGCCCAGCCGCCCTACCTGCGGCCCCGCCGCCCTACCTGCGGCCCAGCCGTCCTACCTGCTGCCCCGCCGCCCTACCTGCGGCCCCACCACCCCACCTGCGGCCCCGCCGCCCTACCAACGGCCCCGCCGCCCTACCTGCGGCCCCGGCGCACTACTTGCGGTCCCGGCCTCGTCCCCTACCGCCCGAGCCGCCTACGCAGCCGAGTCGCCCGCGCCGCTAAGTAGCCCGAGCCGCCTGAGCCGCCCGAGCCACCCGAGCTGCCCGAGCTGCCCGAGCCGCCTGAGCAGCTGAGGAGCCGAGCCGCAGGTGCCGCCGAGCCGCAGTTGCTGCCGAGCCGCCCGAGCTGCCCGAACCGCCCTGTCTGGTGAGAGCAGCGCCTCTGTCACTGCACTGCCCCTGCTCTACAGTTTGCGCTGCTAGTCTACTGCTGTCATGGCTACCCCCAGTGTTCTCACTTTTGACGCTGAGGGTCGGGCCATTGACTTTGACGTCTGGGTAGATGACCTGCAGCTTTTCCTACAGTGCAATAGGGCAGACGGTCTCTCCCTCTTTGACCTCACCTCTGGTGCTTCCCCTGCCCCTGTTGCCGATGCCGACGCCACTGTTCGCTCACAGTGGGCCACTCGCGATGCTGCTGCACGTCTTGCTATGCGTCGCCACCTGCCTACCACTGAGCGCGCACACTTTAGTCAGTACAAGAGTGCTCAGACCTTGTACGACGCTGTAGTTGCGCGCTACTCTTCCCCTGCCACTGCTGCACTGAGCCGCCTCATGCTACCATACCTCTTCCCTGACCTTGCTGCCTTTCCCACAGTTGCTGACCTCATTACGCATCTCCGCACTAGTGACACTCGCTACCGCGCTGCGCTTCCTGCTGAGTTCTGCGCCAGGAACCCCCCCCCCATGTACATCACTCTCTACTACATAGTCACCCGCCTCCCTGACTCCCTTCGTGTAGTCAGAGACCACTTCCTCTCAGTCTGTCCCACCACTCTCACTGTTGATCTCCTCGAGAAGGCCCTCTTAGCAGCGGAGAACAGCATAGTCGCTGTAGGAGCCTCTCGTGGTGACCCTCGCACCCCCATCTTTGAGGGGTGTTCCCCCTCCCCCCTTTTGCCCTTTGTCGCCTCTGCTGCTGCGACCGACCTCGTTGGTCTTGAGTCGGTCATTGCGGCGTCTACCCCCAGTGGGAGACGCCGCTCTGGCAAGGGCAAGATAGGCAGGGGCGCTGGAGGAGCTAGCGGGGGTGGTGGAGGCGGCGGTGGAGGCGGCGGAGGGAGTGGGGGTGGCGGTGGGAGTGGTGGCGGGGGTGGAGGTGTCGGTGGCGGCAGTGGAGGCGGAGGCGGCGGAGGCGGTAGCGGTGGGAGCGGAGGCGGCGGTGGTGGCGGAGGTGGAGGAGGCGGTGGTGGAGGAGGTGGAGCTGGTCGGGGTGGCGCTATGCAGCGGGGCGGCTCCGGTGGTGGTCAGCGCCAGCAGCAGCAGCAGCAGCAGCAGCAGCAGCAGCGTTCTCGTGACATCCCCCCCCCTCAGCAGCTCCGTGAGTGGTACGCTGCACGTCAGCGTGGTGGGGGTACCGGTCCGTGCACCTACGTCCTACGCACCGGCGACCGCGCGGGTGAGCAGTGTGGGGGTGCACACCCCACCCAGCGCTGCTTTGGCCGCCTGATGGACGCTTGGCCTCACCAGTTCCCGGAGGCCACTGAGATTCCCCGCTGGGGTGAGCTGTCTAGGGCGGGTGTAGCTATCTTTGATCTTGACTTTGATGCTATTCTTGCTGCCATGTATGCTGTGTCTATTTGTGATGAGGGTGACTGTTACCGGTGTTTCCCGCCCGACCCGGGCATTGAGACTGCTGCTCTAGGTACTGGTGAGGCTGCTGCTCTAGGTGCCAGTGAGGCTGCTGCTCTAGGTGCCAGTGCGTCTTCGTCCTCAGGTGCTGGTGAGTCTGCGCTCTCAGGTACCGCGTCGGCTTCGGCCTCCCTCACCTTCACACTAGACTCAGGGGCTTCTCGCTCCTTCTTTCGAGACCGCACCACACTCACGCCGCTTGGTCGGCCGGTTGCAGTCTCCCTGGCAGACCCCTCTGGGGGTCTTGTCCTTTCTCACTTCTCCACTGTCCTCCCGTGTCTGCCGGCCCCCTCTGACACCTTGTCTGGTCTTCACCTCCCCTCATTCTCTACGAACCTGGTGAGTGGTGCTGACCTACAGGATGTGGGGGTTCACCAGTTTACTCCTGTGAGTCAGCGGGTGACCCACTGCTCGCACGCTCGCACAGGCCGGCACCTGGCCACGTTTACGCGTCGGCTGGGGTCGAGCCTGTACACCCTGACCACTGAGTCCCCTCCTGTCCCTGCGTCTGGTCAGGTAGCTGCGTCGGGTCATGTGTTTGCTGCAGCGTCCAGGTCTGGTCCTGAGTCTGCCCCCTGCTCGTGTCGCCTCCTGTCTCACGAGACTCTCCTCTGGCACCACCGCCTTGGTCACCCCTCCCTGCCTCGTCTCCGAGGCATGGCCTCCCGTGTCCTTGTCTCTGGTCTTCCCCGGTCCCTCCCTCCCCTTCCTCCGGGGCCTGGCCCTACCTGCGTCCCCTGTGTCGAGGGGCGGCTGCGGGCTGCCCCTCACTCCTCTCGGTTTCCCCCGACAGAGGCCCCGCTGCAGACGCTTCACATGGACGTGTGGGGCCCGGCCCGCGTCCGTGGACAGGGTCATGAGCGCTACTTCCTGCTGGTAGTTGACGACTACTCGCGTTACACCACAGTCTTCCCCTTGCGTAGCAAGGGTGATGTCACTGAGGTGTTGATCGACTGGATCCGCGCAGCTCGTCTCCAGCTCAGGAGGAGCTTCGGCTCGGACTTTCCTGTTCTGCGTCTGCACTCTGACCGAGGCGGAGAGTTCTCCTCTGGCCTTCTACGAGCCTACTGTCGTGCGCGAGGCATCCGCCAGACCTTTACGCTTCCGGACTCTCCACAGCAAAATGGGATTGCTGAGCGCCGCATTGGCATGGTCATGGACGTCGCCCGTACGTCCATGATGCATGCGGCTGCCCCCCATTTTCTGTGGCCGTTTGCGGTTCGGTACGCGGCGCATCAGATCAACCTTCACCCCAGGGTCTCCATGCCGGAGACCTCCCCAACTTTGCTGTGGACGGGGAAGGTTGGCGATGCGTCTGCGTTCCGTGTCTGGGGATCTCGGGCGTTTGTCCGCGACTTGTCTGCGGACAAGCTGTCCCCTCGTGCTGCTCCTTGCGTCTTCCTTGGCTTCCCCCCTGACGCGACAGGGTGGCAGTTGTACCACCCCACCTCTCGTCGTGTTCTGTCCTCCCAGGACGTCACGTTTGACGAGTCAGTCCCCTACTACCGCCTCTTCCCCTACCGCACTTCTTCCCTCCCCCCGCCCTCGCTCTTCCTTGTGCCATGTTCCCCCCCGGTAGACCCCCTCCCCCCTCAGGGTGCTGCCCCTTCAGGTGTGTCCCAGGTAGACGCAGTCAAGCCTGTCGAGGTTACTTCTGACTCTGGTGCTGCTGCGGGTGCTGAGCCTAGGGGTGCTGACTCTGGGGGTGCTGAGCGTGTGGGTACTACGCCTGGGGGTGCTGGGCCTTTGGGTGGTACTACTGGGGGTGCTGAGCCTGGGGGTGCTGAGCCTGGGGGTGCTAAGACTGGGGGTGCTGAGCCTGGGGGTGCTACGCCTGGGGGTGCTGAGCCTGGGGGTGCTGAGCCTGGGGGTGCCACGTCTGGAGCTGCTGAGCCTGGGGGTGCGGAGCCGGCGGCCGCTGGGCCTGCTCGTGTGGCGTCTGGTGGTGCTGGGCCTGGAGGTCCTCCGGGTGCTTCGTCTTGGCGGGAGCCACTCTCTTCACAGGAGCTGCGCGAGTGGTTTGCCCGGCGCTATGGAGTTCTGCTGAAGTTGGAGCTTCTTCGGCTGCTTAGGGTGCTGGTGCCGCCGGTCCCGGAGGTGCTCATACTTGGAGTGCTAGAGCTGCTGGGCCTGCGGATACGACTAGTCCTGGAGCTGCTGAAGGTGTTGGCGCTGAGGCTACTGCTGTCAGTCCTGGCGGCGGTCCTGCTGCGGGTGCTGCTGGTGCTGCAGGAGGTACCGCAGCTGGAGGTGCTGTTGGCGCTGGTGCTGCCGCTGGGGGTGCTGGTGCTGTCCCTGCTGTGTCTGGAGTCGCCGCGCGGCCTCGGCCGTACTTCGTTCCGCTCCTTCAGCAGGTTCTTCGTCTCCCGCCTTCTACTAGTCCTCCTCCTCCCTTAGAGTGTCCACTCCCTGACCCGTCACAGCTACAGTTACTGCCGGCCTCCCCACTGCCTGCTCCGTCTCCCTACACTGGTCCTACTGGAGGTCTTGCTGAGCGTCGTGAGCCTGCGTCTTGCCCTGCGTCGCCTGTCCGTGCTGCACGCACTAGTGGTCGCGGTTCGCGTCAGCGTCCTCCTCCTGTCCCTGGCACGCACCGGGTGTCTCTGCGTTAGTCCACTGCTCCTCTGCGTGTCCCTTTGCCTTCTCCTCCTGCGTCCTCTCTTCATGCCCTTGCCGACCCGGAGTCGGACTCTCTTCGTGCTGCCAGTCCTACTGTCACGCGTCTCCTTGCTACTGTCGTCACTGACCCCTCCTTTGAGTCCACTGCTGCGTCTGCCTTAGTTCCTGAGCTTGTCGACTTTGCTGCTCGCTGTCGTCTAAACTACGCTGCTAGTCTTGTTGCTGAGTCTGCGTCTGTCTGTCCTCCGTTCGTCGGGATTGAGTGTGCTCTTGGCACGGACGTCCTTGAGGACAGGCAGGAGGAGTTCCAGTGTCTGGCTGCTGCTTCACCTCATCTCGTGTCCGTACGGCTTACCCCTGAGGGAGACCCGATGCACTTGACATCCCGACTCCGCGCTCTTACGCGGAGGCCGTAGAGGGTCCCTACTCCTCTCAGTGGCAGGCAGCTATGGATGCAGAGATGGCTTCCTGGAAGTCCACAGGCACCTACGTTGACGCAGCTCCCCCACCGGGGGCGAACATCGTCAGTGGCATGTGGATCTTCAAGGTGAAGCGGCCGCCAGGTTCTCCACCTGTCTTCAAGGCGCGGTATGTGGCTCATGGCTTCAGTCAGCGGCAGGGAGTTGACTACTTTCAGACCTTCTCTCCCACCCCGAAGATGACCACTCTTCGGGTGCTGCTGCACATAGCCGCTTAGCGCGACTACGAGCTTCACTCTCTTGACTTCAGCACTGCTTTCTTGCAGGGTAGCCTGCATGAGGAGATCTGGCTGCGCCGCCCACCTGGCTTCACTGGGACTTCCCCTCCTGGCACCCAGTGGAGCCTCCGGCGGCTAGTCTACGGTCTCCGCCAGGCACCCCGTGAGTGGCACGACACACTGAGGACTACACTTGCGGCTCTTGGGTTTGCTCCCTCTACTGCCGACCCGTCGCTGTTTATGCGCACCGACACTTCTTTGCCGCCGTTCTACATCCTCGTGTACGTCGACGACTTGGTCTTTGCCACTGCTGACACTGCTGGACTCGCCCACGTGAAGTTCGAGCTGCAGAAGAGACACACGTGCACAGACCTGGGTGAACTGTGCAGCTACCTTGGCTTGCAGATCACCTTGGACAGAGCACGCCGCACCATTACCCTGACTCAGTCACACATGGTGCAGCAGGTCCTTCAGCACTTCGGCTTCACGTACTCCTCGCCTCAGGCCACTCCTCTGTCTACTCGCCACTCGCTCTCAGCTCTGCCTTCGGATGAGTCCGTAGAGTCGAGTGGCCCGTACCCAGAGCTTGTTGGCTGCCTCATGTACCTGATGACCTGCACTCGACCTGACCTTGCATACCCTCTTAGCATTCTCGCACGCTATGTTGCTCCTGGGAGACACAGACCGGAGCACATGGCTGCAGCGAAGAGGGTGTTGCGCTACTTGTGCAATACGTCAGGCATGGGGCTTGTGCTTGGAGGGCAGAGTCCAGTGGTCCTCACTGGGCACGCAGACGCTTCTTGGGCTGACGACCAGGCTACGCAGCGGTCGTCACAGGGTTACACCTTCAGCCTTGGTTCCGGCTCTGTTTCGTGGCGGGCTACCCGCTCGTCTTCTGTTCTCGGCTCCAGTTGTGAGGCTTAGATCTACGCCGGGGCCATGGCTGCACAGGAGCTTCGCTGGCTCACCTACCTGCTGACTGACCTCGGAGAGCCGCCTCGTTCTCCTCCAGTGCTGTACGTAGACAACAAGGCCATGCTGGCCTTGTGTCGAAAGCAGAGACTGGAGCACAGAACGAAGCACATTGCTCTCCGCTACTTCCTTGCTCGTGAGCTGCAGCAGCGTGGTCAGCTGCGTCTTGCGTACGTGGCCTTTGAGGCCAACACTGCTGATATCTTCACCAAGGCGCTTGCACCTTGTGATCATCAGCGCTTCTGTACTCAGCTTGGTCTTGTGCCTGCCTTGCCTCACTTGCTCACCTCTTGACCTTGCTTGTACTGTTACATATATATATACACCTGCTCTTGCTTGTCTAGCCTTTTATATATATATGTACTCCTGCATGTGAACTGGCCTTGTGGCCTTGACCTTGTGCTCGGAATGTGTGGTGACTTTGTGATCCACCCTGAGCTTGCTTTGCTTTGCTTTGCTTGACTGGTCTTGTGACCACTTGTTCTCCCCCACTTTGCCTATGGGGGTGTGTCAAATCATAATGTTCTATAGGCTGTAGTGGGGTAGCCTATATGGGGTGTGAGAATGAACGAGAATGAATGCACTATGAAAGAGTTGGGTACAAGTACTAACCCTAATTGGGTTGTACCCCATATAGGCTACCCCACACACACCCCATATAGGTGTCGGGGTCGGGGCCAGCAGAGGTGGCGCCGGGGCCGGGAAGGGCAGCGCCGGGGCCGCAGGGATAGGCGACGGGGCCAGCAGAGGCGGGGCCGGGTCGGGAAGGGCGGCGTCGGGGTCGCCGGGGTAGGCGACGGGGCCAGCCGAGGTGGCGCCGGGGCCAGGAAGGGCGAAGCCGGGGGCGGGATGGGCGGCGCCGGGGCCGAAGGGGTAGGTGACGGGGCCGCTAGGGCGGCGGATCGGGGCCGCGAGGGCGGCGAGACGCGGCCGCTAGGGCGGCGCGACGAGATGGGGCCGCGACGGGGCAGCGAAGGGTCGCGCGCGGCTCCCCTGGGCGCCACGACGGGGTAGCGGGGAGTGGCGCGCCTAGAAGGAACGGGGTCGCACGCCTCGGGGCGCGCGCTAGAGATGAAAAATAGGTCGCACGCCACGGGGCGTGCGACAGATCGAGTAGCAGCGGAAGTAGTAGTAGGGCCCACAGGCCAGGAGCATATGTGCTCTGAAACCATGTGAGAATGAACGAGAATGAATGCACTATGAAAGAGTTGGGTACAAGTACTAACCCTAATTGGGTTGTACCCCATATAGGCTACCCCACTACAGCCTACACAAATGCATAAGCTATAATGTTCTGACATGGGGTACACATTTCTAGGGTTGCATATTTGTACCACATTCCATTCCTTACTTCACACATTCTCGTTTCAGTTTTCTCAGCTCCAATGTTTGCGAAGTTGACTCCGAACGTAGCGTTCCGGTTCGGATCCAGGTACGGCGGAGGCGACCCGGGGAAACCCATCCATTCGGCTGCAGAGGAGCCGGTGGGGAATAAAAATGACGGGTGTTTCAGCTTGAGATGTATCTTTGAGATGCTTTCGGAATCGCTTCGACCATGAGCTCTCACAAGCCACTCATCATCTGTTCTCGGGTGCTAGGCTAAGAGGAGCACCGTGATCTTGGAGAGAGGATTTTGTAACGATCACGAGCGAACCGCTGGACCCGGGCGATGACGCCACGACGGAGCGACCTCGCTTACCTAGGAAGTCGATGGTGAGCTTGCCGTCGCACACGCGACCCGATTGGGGGATGAAGTTCTTTCCATACGGCGGGAAGTTGAACTGAAGCACGGACTTGCCGGAGTTGTTCTTTCCCACGTCCAGAAGCGAATCTCCAAAGACGAATATTGCGTCGATCGGCCCGGTTGACTCCGAGTCAGGCGCCACTTTAGGCGGCGTAGGAGAAGGCGATTTCCGCCGGCGAACTTCCGCAGCGCGCATAGATTCTCCGAAAAACAGGAGCGTGGCGAGAAAGAGAAGGCGCGGCGTGATCGCCATCGTGGCGCGTGCGAATGGCTTTGTGCCAAGAGCAGGACGGGGAACACGAGAAGCTGCTGGAAATGGGGAGTGGCTGAACGGAATAAGGATGAAATTAGGCGACTAGCTCGTGTGATGAAGTCGCGTGCTGCTGATGTGGGGGTTATAAATGATGTCTTTGGCCGCAGAGGGGAAGTGGCGGAGAGAAATATGCGCCTCGAGACGTGTTGCCCCAGACTCACGCGTTCCAGTGTGTGGAAAATCAAATGGGTTTGACTCGAGGTTTTGTCTTTCGGGTTGCATCTGTGAAAATGAACGAGGATGAATGCACTATGAAAGAGTTGGGTACAAGTACTAACCCTATTTGGGTTGTACCCCATATAGGCTACCCCACTACAGCCTACACAAAAGCATAAGCTATAAT